CCCTAAAATAATAAAATGCAGTATCCATGAAGCCTTGTTTTTTTGTAAATTCAGCCCTAATCCACTGCTTCTTGTAACTTTCTAAAGTAATGACAATGGCTCCCCTACATCAGGCTGTATTTAATTGTTATCAAGATTGACTCCAGAATGACACCTATGGACATTTACAGCACACATCAAAGGGAAGTGGATAGTTTTACTGTACTTGTAAAGTGTCAAACTTGCAAAGTGACATAAACTTCTCATAGTTATCACCAATACCGCTATTTAGATTATCACTGTTTTCACCTTCATCTCTTCTTCTTTTCTACCAATTCTTGGAAGTTTCATCATCTTTGGAGTTTATTCCCAACAGCAATTCTCAATTACTTTCTTCACTTGTTCCACTTCCCTCCCCAGCATCCTGCATGAAATAGGACAACTAGAAGCCTAGGAAATGTAATTTCTTACCAATCTCTACTTCCACTCTGCAGAATTCACATTTCCATATTTGAAACCTAAATACAGCAACGCTTCCCAAGTTATAGTTAGCTATCTGTCTGCAGCTTGCTAAGGCAACTCTCCTCCCAGTACAAACTACCTAAACTTCTGGAAACTCAAAGAAAAGGAAAGGAAAAAGAAAAAAAAAAGAAAAAAAGAAGGCTAAACAGGGAGAAGTCATATAAAGATATTCCATAAACATCATACTCCTTTGGCCTTTGGCAGTAATTATTTTAGTAATGGAAGTAGGCTAGACAAAACCAGCTCCATCATTGAAAATGGAAATCGTTGACCTTCCATTTATAAAAAACAGTTTCCTGATACTACACGGCAAACGTGAAAATAAGCTTTCCAGGACTTGCCTGTGTACTAAGCTATGGGGTTAATGACTGATATAAGCCTAGGAAAAATGTTTTTAGCTTTTTAAAACCTGATAAAACTTTAAGATGTGCTCAGCAAGACATTTAAAATGAGTAACAGTCTTGCTTCCCAGGCAAGTGTCAAGTTTGAGTACTATGCATCCTCCCCATAGTTACTTCTAATGATGTTGCTGCGAACTGTAATGTTTAGTTGGCTTAGTCTTAAGAATTACTATAGCTTTTAAATAACTTTGATATACTAATGTTTATGGGTAGTCACAATTACAGAGTGGTTTTCCAACCTATCTTTAGCAAGGTAGCTTGTTTCAAGTAGTAAGAAAATTTACACACATAATCATCAGACTTGTCCCTGGTAAATCTGCATTTGTTGAACATCTAAGAGTTCAGAAGAATAGCCTTGCTCACACTATTTGTTCATGTTTCTCTTCTCACCTGATAAGGCTTTCCCCAGTTCCCCTGAGCCACCCCTCTTTCTGATCTCCAGTGAGAGACTCAAAGACAGATGGGTGGATTAACAGCATGTTCACAAACACTTCTTGGGAGTCTAAAACCACTTTGCAAATTTACTTCAACTTAAACCTTCAGCATTTACCATATTTCCAATTTTAGAAATCTAAACTGTAGCACAGAAGTGATGTGAATTTTTGAACCCTAATTCAACCCCTCTAAATTGGCTGTCATCCCTGGATGCAGGAAAGTTCTAACCAGGCTCTTTAAAATGTGAACACTGCACATGCTACAAAACTAGCATTCAGCATCACAGGACTGATTTTTATATTTAGTAAATCAAACAAACAAACAAAAACCCCAACCCAAACAAACCCTAAACACAACCTCCCCCCCCCCCCCCCCCCCCAGTGACAAAAAAACCCAGCTGGGAAACTGGACTTTCACTTCAGAAAATAAATAAATGTCAACACTTATATTGCTCTGACAGCTCTAAAGAAGGAAGGGCCATGCAGGCTGAGAGTTGTGGTTGTTCAGCCTGGAGAAGAGAAGGCTCACGGGAGGCCTCAGAGCTGCTTCCTGTGCCTACAGCGGCCAACAAGAAAGATGGAGAGGGATTTTTGACAAGGGCATGTAGTGACAGGACAAGGGGGTATGGCTTTAAACTGACAGTAAGAAGATTTAGATATTAGGAAGAAATTCTTCACTATGAAAGTGGTGTGACACTGAAACAGGTTGCACAGGGAAGCTGTTGCTGCCCCATCCCTGGCAGTGCCCAGTGCCAGGTTGGACTGGGCTTTGAGCAACCCTGTCTAGTGGAAGGTGTCCCTGCCCATGCAGGAGGTTTGGAACTAGATGATCTTGAGAGTACCTTCCAACCCAAACCATTCTATGATATAAGAATCATAAAACACTCTGTATCAAGAACAGATGTATTTATAAACAAGTCACTACTCCACCTTTAGAGATAGCCTACGTAGGGTTTTATACAACACATATTATGCATATGTGCCTTGCACTTCATAGACAGTAGCTTTATTTTACCATTCAAACAGAATGGTAAAGACACCTCAGACATTCTTTTTTCCCCTCAAAAGAGCAATACTACTCTGTTGGATGCCGACACAATTTTAATACTATATAAACTTTACTACATAAGGTGCATACAAGCTCATTACAGTCCATCACTGAAGCGATGTGAATGTAACAAGCAGAAATGTAAACTGCAAGAAAGCATGTGCAGTCCTCCTAACTAGGTCTGCTTGTGAACCAGGAAGCTTTGGCACCAAGTTCAAATATAAACCAGTTTATAATAATATAGGAGAATAATATAGGAGAATACATAGTCAATTATAACTGAAACGAGTAAGTGCTTACCTTGACTCTCCACTACTGTTTCTTATGCTTTCTTCATCGCTGTGCAAATTCATTGTAAATATTAGTAAGTTCAAAAGATAAATAAAAGACCAGTCTGGTTACAATGTGGATATCTTCTTGGTATTCTGCTTGTTTGCCAAGTCAGGTGTTTGCTCTAGTGTTCTTTGTGTGTATTCAAGATTTCTCCTCAAATACCTAAAACAGTAAAGAAAAACACTGACACAATTTGAAAGCACGTCTGCATCTAAAAAGAAACGAAAAATAACATGGCAATATAGATGGCAATGTGCACAGAATAGGAAATGGTATGGAAATTACATTCTCTTTAGCACTGCAGGGTAAGAACAGTTTACTACATGTCTGCACTATATCATGTGGTTTAACTTTTGCCATACGACTGACTTCAGGACAAAGTGGATATAAATTTTAACAAAAAACTGCTCACCTGAACACAGACGTAAAACGACATATATATTCTTCAGCTAAGATCTGCTTAGTAAAATGTATTCAACAGACAAAACACAGTGGAAGCATTTCCAGATACACACATAATGCTTACAGCCGCTTGTGGGTAAAGGCAGGAAGAAAAAGACTGTCCTGTTTAAAACAACTGTCTCCACTAAATCAGACCAGCAAGATCCCACAGATGGAATGATCATTATTTCACATACAAGCGCATCTTAAACCAGATCACTGCAGTATCCCATACAGCTAGATATGTTTAGGTTCACGGTAAATGGACTGCAAGCACAAACTCACTGATAATCAGATAAAAAGCACCGCCTCTCACAGATTTAGTGATGTGAAAGCGGTTAGAGTGTGTCCTGCTAGCTGCCTGCCCCGAGGCGCTCTCCTCTAATATGTAACAGCCCAACCGCAGCTCACCGGGTCGTGGCAGTGGGGAATGCATCGCTCCGCGGTGGGAAATACTCCGTGCTCAGGCATCCAAGCCACTCCGGCCACCAGACAAAGGCGACGAGGGAGGGGAAAGTAACAGAAGGCAGCCCGGCAACTCCGCAGGGCCCGCGAAGCGACATCGGGGACCTCGCGGCGGAGGAGGCGAGCCAGGCGGCTCCCCGCGGTCCGCCCGCAAGGCCGCGCTCTGCTTAGTCGCCTGGCCGCACGCTGCCCGTCCTCCCGCGCAAACACCGCCCTCGCTTTCGGGCCCGGCACCCGGTGAGCCCCGGGAAGCACCCTGAGCAGCGACTCTAACTTTCCCCCTGCCGCGCTTTTCCCGTTCCGCGGTGATCCTTCCTGCAGGACTGGAGAGCCCAGGCCGCCAGACCGTGCTCCCGCAGCCTCCCTCTGCAGCTCTCGCTCTGCCCGCCCCCAGGGCGCTCGTCTCCCGTCCTCAAAGCTAGCTCTCCGCTGGCAGCGCGGCCTTGCACAGGCGTCGCTCCCAGCCAAGGCTCCCTGGCAGCGTCTCCAAGGCCGCCGCTGTCCTCCATTCTCGATTTTCCCGGCGCCCCGCCTGGCCAGAGGAGAGCCAAGGCCGCTCTCCTCCCTCCAAGGCGGCTCTGCGCTGGCTCCGCCAGCAGGACCAAGCGAGAGAGACTCGACACCGGCTATCCGCTGCGGCCCTCGCAGCTCCCACTCTCCGCTAAGTGGGCCCAAGAACCCACCCCGCGCCGGGCAGCCCTTCCCCCCGGACCCCGCCCGGCAGCGAGATCCATCTCTCAGCACCGCCCGCCCCCCCTTCCATCTTCGGAAGCTGTAAAACTCCCGGCCGGCGAAAGGGAAAGAAGCCATGGCGGCCTCTGCCTACCTTCGTGTGCCCAGCCTGGCGAAGCCTTCCCAGAGCCTCCCCTGCCCGTGACTGCGCTACGCCCCGCGGGGATGCTCGTACCGCAGCCGAGGGTCGGCGGCTGCTGCCGCGGCGGGCCCTGGGCCGCCGCTCAGTCCCGCTGGCCGCCGGCTCCTCGTAGCTTTGACGCGGTAGACTCTCTCGCCCGCCCGCTCGAACAATGGGGCCCCGAACTGGGCAGGGAGGGGCGCAGGGAGTACCCGAGTGAGTGTTGTGCCGCTCTGCTCCGCCACCGCTCCTCAAGTCCTCTCGACCGCCGCCATCACGCCGCTTCTCCACTCTGCCTCCCCCTCCCGCGGTCGGATGGAAACCCCGGGCGTGATGTCAGCCGTGCGCCCTGGGACCGACCGGCAGCAGGAGGAGGAGGAGCCACGGCCGGGGGCGACCGGCAGCGCCGCTGGGCCTCTGGAGTGGTTGGTGAAAGCAGGGTGGGCCGCTCGTTGTGCCGGGGGTTGGTGGCAGTGCCCGCCCTCTGTCCCTCCTTCCGTCCCTGCCTGCCGCACGGAAGGAATGTTGAGGCCGGGACGGGCCCAGCTCCCAGCCGTCTGTGAAGGCGCAGGGCGCGGCCCGACCCAAAGGGACTCCATGACCTGAGCGGCCCAGCCGCCCGTTACTATTCTGCGGAGCGTGGGTTGTTGGTTTTATTTTATTTTTTTTTATTATTTGGTGGGGGTTCTCGGTGTAAAATCGCAGCCCGGCGACAAATACGACCACGTTCCTTAGTCTAGCTACACAGTTACAAGCAGTACGGGAAGGAAGGCTCCGCGCTCTGCTGCTGGGAGGACGTTGTCACCGGAGGACTACCCCTGGGGGGTAGCTGGTCTTCCTCTTTCCATTACAGAACCTAACGGTCGCTCTTTTCAAAGCTATTAATGTTAGCCTTTTATTTAACATGCATCACGTTCGTTAACAAAAAAAAAAACAAACCCTCAAAACAACACCCCCCCCCCCCAAAAAAAAACCACAACTAAATCCAAACCACCACGCACCCTCCAAATCTGAAATACAACACACAAGGAAAAAGGTTACATAAGTTGTGTGTCTGAATTTTCCCAGAATGGCAAAGAAAGTGGCAGCTGAGTGAAAGAGTGTGCTGTAAACTCAATGCCGCAGCCAACCTGTCTTCTCTTCTTTGGAGGCACACATATGCAATTACACTCTTGTCACCCAAGAGGATTGTGGGGTCACTGCTGACATCTGGCACCAGACCTTTGGACATTTATGTAGCACCCTGCAAGAATGAAAGAGGTCAAGATCAGCATGAAAACACAGCTTGGCCATCAATGAAGGGAAGCTTGAAGGAAGCAAGTTGCTGTGCAGGTATACCAGAGGAAGGTATTTACAGTAGCCGTCAAATCAGTTCCAAGTTTGAAGAGTTGTGTTGGCTAGGAGCCCACATCTGAGCCACAGTCAGTCAGCTGGAGACCTCTGGGGCTTACAGCTTACCTCATGGTTGCTCTTCCAGGATAAGCAAAGCTGGTTGCTTCAGCACTCAGTGGAGGGTGGTGAGCCAGTGTACCTGCCACTCTTCATCTGAGTTGCTGCGGTTTCCTAGATCGGCACCTTCAGCCCACCAAGAGGATTGTGGGATTGGTTGCCATGCACAGTGACTCGCTGCCTGAGAAGCAGCAGGGGCTAGCCAAAGATTATATACCAGTCCAGCTCTCAAGCACCATGTAGGAGTGTACCCCAAAATCCCAATGGTGTTTTTTCCCTCCAGAGTTAAAAAATGCACCAGGAATTGCTTAGACAAAAATAGCTTCAAAGTTTACAAGAAGGTTATGTTACATTATTGTCCTTATAGAAGCACTAAAATTTGACTAAGTCAGCTTAAGAGAGAATATTTTTTATGACAGACAATAAAATAGATTAGATAGACAAGAGTGCTGCAAGATCAATGTTCTGAAGTTTAAATCAAGACAGAATGAAAGTAACTGTTTTAAGTTAACAAACTACTCTGATAAATAATAGGATAATTAAGGATAGAGCAGATTCTAATGAAAGGATTTTTATTACTATTAGGAATTTTTACATTTTAAGGAAAGAAAGAGTAGAAAGCCACTGCCTTGTTCAACCAGAACAGATAGGTCTTATGCAGAAATTGTGGACTTAAGCAATTACCTTCAGCAAGCAAGTGATAAGACCAAGCTGATAATTTCTAATACATGATAGGTGTTAGGTGTACAAATTATATGAATTAATGTGTGACTAATTTGAGTTACATAGCTAAATAACAGAAGTTTTCATTGCATTTTACAGCTGATTGCAAAACTCACACAGGTCAATATAGATATTTAAATACATAATTTACACCTTTAATATTAATATGATCCACAGAATTTATAATAATGCAACCACACCTAAATACAAATGAAAGGAAATACATGAATTTAGCATCCCTTTCTGTTTACAGCATCCCTTTCTCTTACGAACTACAACACTGTCTTCTTTTGGAAGATAAATAAAAAACACTTAGGGAAGAAAGGAGATGGGAGAACAAAAAAAAAAAAAAAAAAAAAAAAAGAGAACACCAACCAAAACCAAGCAACAAACCAACCAAAAAACCCAACCCAAAACTAAATAAATTCCAGTTGCTTAGCTACAGAATTCTTATTAACCATTCAAATTCTTGTTAACCATTAGACATCAATAAAGAAGGCAGATGTTATTAAAATTCCTCTATTTTTGCTATCAAACTTCCTCTCTTTAAGTTCCTAATTATTCAGAGATCCAGTGACTTTCATCCTTCTCTTTTTTTTTTTTGTGTTTCCCCCTTCCGCTACCCCTCTGTAAGACATCATGTATAGAAAATAGCTTTATTCTGCCAGAAAATATCTTTCCAGGCTGCTGCTTTGAGTCATGTGCATAATTTTTTTTTTGGTACATATTGATTTTTAATTCGTATTAACATCAACAATAGTAATTAGCTTCTATTAACAAATGAAAATACAGTGTTCCCATAGGTCCAATAATTTGCTTTAATGATTAGTACAGGAATTAACAAAACTTACTTATTCTTTCAGGAAAATAATTGAAGGAGAAAGTCCAGTTTTTCCATTTCACATGCCAACTACTAATTTGTCTTTTGTATGGTTAGAGTTACTGTTGTGACAGTATCTACATTTAAATATTGATCATACTGCACATACGTCGTTTCCTTTGCAGGTTAAGGCCCCAAATCTTCAAACATTTGAAGTATGAGCACAATTTTCTGACAGTCTTCCAAGAGCTTAGGGCATCTTCTTCATTGAGAAGATGGTGATGTTCTGCAAGATTGTCTTCATAGTAGGAAGATATGACTGTACGTATATTAAGTATATTTGTAATAGCTTATTTTAGATATCAGAAGTAATTGACTTTGATCACATGGCAGAATGGACACTAGCGTAAACTAATAAAGTCGTACTAGAGAATTTTTACCAGCTCTCAAGACGACAAAATTTTTGTTGCATGCATGCATGTTACATGTTACATGCATGTCAGATGTCCTTGGAGAGCTGCTTTGTGGTTGCTAAAAGGTTCTGGCAATGCTGGTTTAGATTAATTAAGTGATGCACATACACTCGCATCTGCTCTGAACACACTTCTGCCGGAAAGGCATTTATATGTAAACTTTACCATAATCTGTTACTATTGGGTAGTCTGCTATATACAGTGTATCACCCCTCCTTTCCCTGCCTCACATCTCCCCCGGACTTCAACACTAGTAGTTTTCCTATCCTTTTTCATATCCAAATTAGGAACGTTAATCCTACCTCCTTTCCAATGAGGAGCAATCCTTAGGGTTTGGATTTTTTTCCATTTGCATGATTTAGTTAGAGGTGTGACATGTCTTTCTGCTTTCTGTCTGTAGCAGACATGCTAGGCTGTGTGCTCACTACTATGCATTTTTTTTTTTCCTGAGCACAGCAGTTAAAAATACTAGCCTACACTTTGCAACCCAGGAAATAACCTCTGTTCCCTTAGTCTTCTAAATACATCACAAAGTGCTGCTCCCCAGGATGTACCTGCACATGCCCTTTCATTTGTATTTGAGAAATGTAGGTGCTTCTGATTTGGAAACCTCACTTGGAGTCTCTGCAGTATGAGGCAGGCTTAAGATTCAAGCAGAATAAATTTCTGTTTCAGGAGGATACAAGTTGAACTTCTAATTACGAAACTTAGAAGAAATCAACATTTTTAGTTCTATTTTACTTATTAGGCTTCTTCAATTTGCTTCACTTAGATTCTTTTGCTAGTTTCTCAGCTGCTTTGGAAATCCCCTTTCAAGGTGTGGTTTCACAATGGTTTAAATTAACTGGAGTTAGAGCTGCTGTGATCTGTGGCCATATCATCCAAAACCTACCCTACTCAAAGATGCTTGCTTTCTGGCCACTTCAACTTCTTGACTTAGGTCACCACACAGCTATGTGTGGAGTGATCCTTGTGCAGTAAAATAGTAGCAACAATTGTTACTTAGACTGGTTAAAAATTGCTGCAACAGTGTCTGGAGATCTTTCTCCACATCCCTTTGGGAGAAGGATTTTTCTTTTGCATCACAATTTATTTGTATTGCATTTTTAAGCTATTCTTTTTTTTTTTTTTTTTTTTTAGGTAAAGTAAGCATGACATTCTTATCTCAGCAGCATCTCAGACTGTAAGTAATACTGATTTCTGTTGCACATAGCTTTTAGTCTGTATCAAGAGACAAATACACATGACATACAGTGCTTTAGGAACAGCTGGCAAAGCTTTTTGTTATTACAGAAAAGCTATCACCTGTGGGAATAAGCTGCCTTTTTCTGAAACTCAGAATATGAGATGCCAGATGCCATCATCTTCCACGAAGTGAGTGATTTATTGTGTCTAAAGTGTCACTGATTTACCCCACCTGTATCCCCTGGCCTGTTCTTGAGTTGTATTTTTCCTTGTAGGCAAAACATGATCCAAGTTAGGTGTGCTGTTACTCAGCACAATACATTTAAGTGTATCTGTTTTCAGGTTATTTACCTTATCTTTTTAGTAATGGTAGTGGTTCATGTTTATCAAGTATCATTAAAGGAAAGATTTATCACTTTTCTAGTCTTAATATTTAGAAACTCTTCTGGACAAAGAAGCTTTCTCCTTTTTAAAGTAGTGAAACCTTGAATAGTGATCTAGCAGACTTCAGTGAGGCAAGATAGATTCAATAAATACCCTTAACATTTGACTATGTGCTAAGTTAGGTACTGGTTTCTCCCCTTTTTCTTATCTTCTCTCAAAACAATTCCTCCCAAACCCTTCATATTTTGACTTTCCTTCTTCTAATCTTCAGTTACTTCTTAAACAAGTCCTGAAGAGCTCGAAGGTCGTAATGCTAGATATAATACACAAACAAACATCTTCTTTCTGCTCAGTAGGTGTTACCAGGCATAGCCTAGTTTGCCTGTTTTTCATTCATTTTGTATCCCTACTGTTATTTTATTTCATTTTGCATTCTCCCCTCTAAGAAGGCATCAACAGCAATTTATATAGGTAAACCACTCATTATCCTGTCACTTAAATACTACATCCTTCCTGCTGCTTCAGAGTTTTCAGAGTACTCATGTTAGACACCAGTTTAGTTAATCCATTACTTGCTTAGCTCTTCTCTTCACACACAACTGATCAGAAGTAGTTATTTCAAAACAATTTTGTGCATAGATACTTACGTCATAGTAAGATACAAAGTTTTCCTAGCTTTAAATGCAATTAATCTGTAGATACCTAAAATGCAGGTAGACTTGTTAACTGCATTGCATGGAAGAAAAGATTAAAAAATCCTAGTGGCTGGTTAAAAAGTTTGGCCAAATTTGGCCAACTAACCATAGGGTTTTTAAAGTAATTTATTTATAATTTTTTAAAATTATTTATGCAATCCCTTAAAATATGTAGGTACATGAGCTTCAAGTAAATTAATTTCAAGTTTCACAAAAATGTAACAGCTTGCACTGGTACAAGTGTATACATAATATTTCTTAACTATAGGAGTTTAATTATATTGAAGAACAAACTGATAATTAGACTAGTATAATTCAAGGCCTTATTTACACCTCATATAAAGTACAATTAAATAAACTTTTTACGAATTTCTGCTTTGTCTGAACAAAATATCTGTATGTGATTGGAACAACTGAACAGAAACATTGGATCAGTGCATTAGCAAAATGTTTTGCTGAAAAGATCGAAGAAGCAATTAAAACAATGACAATTTAATGGTTCTAATGAGCTTTAAAGTTAATATCCATCAGAACAGCTAAGTTCACACTTTTCTCTAGACTGCTGTTTTGTTTGGTCTATCCAAATTACCATTGATTTGTTGGAGGCATTGCTGATGGTAGGAAGATGTAACTGTACTAACGATGACACCTACAAAGTTCTGGTCTGTAGCTGTCTCTCATACATGTATATTACATTAGTCTACAATATAAGATAAAGAAAACTTTAAAAAAACAAAATAAATACTGTAAATGCCCAGGTGAAATGAATAATTCCATGTAAAGATCTATGTTTGAAGCAGCCTATACTTTAAATAGCAGGCACTACTTGAGGCTGGAGCTAATTTCAGTAAAGCCTGGTAGGTAGCTAACATTTGTGGAGCTTTTATAAATAGACCAGTATCTTCCTAGTGTATTAATACTAACTTTGAGGCTCTGGTATCATTTGTTTTCAAATGCGCTCACTTTTTGAAGTGATTTAATTAACTGATTTGAAATTTGCAGTTGAAATTTGCTTTCTAGTTCTAATTTTAGTTGAAAATTAGCTCATAAATTGAAAATTAACAAATAAATCACTGGCATATCTAAGTTTTGGCCAAGATCAAAGGAATCAAGAGGAGCTGAAAAAAGGTGGGGACTAATCATCAAGGAAATATAATTTCAGAGTATTGTAATCTCCAAGCCTTACTAAGGCTATTCAGTTTCCATGTGATAATCATCACAATACACAACCTAGTAATACCTCATCTGTAGCTGTACAAATGGTTAATGCTGCAATTGTGTTTCCTGGTCCCATGTACCAGTGCAGTTCTACTATGGTTGGCAAGCCATTGCTGAGCAGCAACAACATCTTCAAGCTGTGTTACCACTTGCCACCATTTTTCCTTCGGGACAGGTTGTACTTTCTTGCAATGTTTATTTAGCGCTTCAATTACCTGGTAAAGTATATGGGCTCAGTAGCAGTATCCACAATGGGATGCAGTGTATTTTGACTTTTGTCTATCACTTTGAAAAATCAGTATCTTACTTCAAAAGAGCACCTTCTTTTTTAGAATCATTCAGGCTTTGAAGGTAAAACTGTAGCTGGCTACTTTTTGAAAAGAAAACATGATGACATGAGCAGTCCTAGCCATTAGTAGACACCTTTTTCTTGTTTACAGTGACACTAGTTACCTTTGTTGCAGGTTCACAGTGTACCTGGCAGTCTCCACGTACTTGAAAGAAGAAAAACAAGCAAGTGTTCTGGAACAGCTAACAAAGATCTTTGTTTCTGCAAACTTGTATCCTCTATACCAGCCAACTCAATCTCTGTTATGTTCACTGACCTTTCCCACTCTTTAAAACCTCAGGTTCTTTTACACCACTCCTAACTGTGCTGTGCTGCTGGGCAAGGGAAGGGAAAGCAAGAGGAGGCTATTTTGACTTTCTTGGATACCAACTGAAACTGAGGGCATTCATTTAGGCCTCTGTTTATTACCACAAACTTTATATTTTCTATGGCCCCACTACTTCTGATAGACTAGGTTGAACTTGCTAGTTGATTTTGAAAGTCATTGCAGAAGCAGATACGGAATGAAAAAGTAAATAAAGTCAATGCAACTCCATGTTTTTTTTCTTTAGGAAACGCTACTAGAAGAAGAGTGCCAGTAATGTGTGGAAAAGAAAGTAGCCAGTCTTCTGAAAACTCTTTCTGGTGTTCACTTGCAAAACACCCCTAAAAAAAATCTAAGTTTAAAGTTACTTAAAACATCTCTTGAACAAACAAAAAATGCCAGCTCCTATATGTAGACTTCAGCTATTATGTCTGTTTTAGAGGGCTGTTATATTTGTAGGGTAGATGGCTTTCTTCAGGATTTGCAACAGCAATATCATACAGATTTTGTTCATGTAGCCCCTTTCATGCTTTTCCTGTTTGCATGCTGTGCATTGTGAACTTCTGGTAGTCTCCCTCCTGATCAGCCCTCCCAAATTCAGCTGGCTGTCCAGTTGGCCTGGTTGGTAGAGCATTGGCCAGATATGTATATATGGCTGCAGCAAAAGGCATAGTACTAGGTTATGAGTCAGGGAATATGCACCTTTGCTTAATAAACTCCCTCCATAAAACATTTTCTGTGCTGTAGACCTTGCTTTGTGACCATGTATTACAGGGAATCTGCTTTTTATTTGTAAGAATTATTGTTATGTGACTTTATGCCTAAAATGTCATTTTTTTGTAACATATCACTGTAGCCTTAGATTTTATAATTCACTGGAAGTTAAGGGACATAAAGTGGCATAAGTATAAGCCACTATATATATATCAATATATTTACATCTGGAGCTTTTGTTTGCGCAGCTATTTCTGCCACAAACCTCCCCTATTCATATCCCAACTCAACTCTTACAAATGCAGACATTTGGAGCTTCCCCTTAGCTATAAGAATGCTACTCTTATCCATCAATTTAACAAATCAATGTATGTTACACAAGTGTAGTTGTTAGCCAGAACCTTGAATATTGTACCTCTTGCATACTGGAGTAATGCAGTTTTCTCACTAGAGTAAGTCTTTTAGTACTTTTAGGTGTAAACGAGTTTATAAAAAGTGACTGGCTGTTTTCAGTGTTTAGACTAGTCAGTCTTCAGTTTAGACTAGGTCTGAGAAGGGTGAACAGCTGACTATAATTTGAGCATGTAGAAGTTCAGCACAAAGCCAAGGTTAGTTGTTAAGACTATTGCTAATGGGAAAAATAGACCAAAGATATTAAAAGAATCATATGTGAACTGTTTATTCCAGCTACTAAAGGGAGGGTAAACAGGAGCTCTGTCTGAAAGAGGAATCATCCTTCTGCACTTAACCATATAAAACACAAAACACGCAGAGGTCTATTGGCGTGCGCTATATTGCTGTATATAACAGTAACAACTGGGGTTACACTCACAGAATGCACTTTGGTGTAGAGATTATACAATCATACAATCATAGAATAGTTAGGGTTGGAAACGACCTTAAGATCATCAAGTTCCAAACCCCCTGTCAATGGGAGGGATACCTCACGCTAAACTAAGTCACCAAAGGCTCTGTGCAACCTGGCCTTGAACACCGCCAGGGATGGAGCATTCACAACTTCCCTGGGCACCCCATTCCAGTGCCTCACCACCCTTAGAGTAAAGAATTTCTTCCTTATATCCAATCTAAACTTCCCCTGTTTCAGTTTTAACCCATTACCCCTTGTCCTATCACTACAGTTCCTAATGAAGAGCCCTCCCCAGCATCCATATAAGCACCCTTCAGATACTGGAAGGCTGCTATGAGGTCTCCACACAGCCTTCTCCAGGCTGAACAGCCCCAACTTCCTCAGCCTGTCTTCATACGGGAGCTGCTCCAGTCCCCTGATCATCCTCGTGGCCCTCCTTTGGACCTGCTCCAACACTTCCATGTCCTTTTTATGTTGAGGACACCAGAACTGCACACAATACTCCAAGTGAGGTCTCACGAGAGCAGAGCAGAGGGGCAGGATCACCTCCTTCGACCTGCTGGTCACGTTCCTTTTGATGCAGCCCAGGGTACGGTTGGCTTTCTGGGCTGTGCCTGGGATGACTCCGACCCAGGTGTAGGACCTTGCCCTTTGCGCTGTTGAACTTCATGAGGCTGGCATTGGGCCACCACACAAGTATGTCAGGGTCCCTCTGGATGGCATTCCTTCCCTCCAGCGTATCAACCAAACCACACAGCTTGGTGTCATCAGGAAACTTGCTGAGGGCGCACTCAATCCCACTGTCCATGTCACTGACAAAGATGTTGAGCAAGACCTGTCCCAACACCGATCCCTGAGGGACACCACTCATTACTGGTCTCCAGCCGGACATTGAGCCATTGACCACAACTCTTTGCGTGGGGCCATCCAGCCAGTTCTTTATCCACTGAGTGGTCCATCCATCAAATTGATGTCTTTCCAATTTAGAGACAAGGATGTCATGCGGGAGAGCGTTGAACGCTTTGCACAAGTCCAGGTAGGTGACGTCAACTGCTCTACCCCTGTCCATCAGTTCCGTAACCCCACCATAGAAGGCCACCAAGTTGGTCAGGCAGGATTTGCCTTTAGTGAAGCCATGCTGGCTGTCACCAAGCACCTTGTTGCTTTTCATGTGCCTTAGCATGCCTTCCAGGAGAATCTGCTCCAAGATTTTGCCAGGCACAGAGGTGAGACTGACTGGTCTGTAATTCCCGGGGTCATCCATTTTCCCCTTCTTGAAAACGGGGGTTATATTTCCCTTTTTCCAGTCATCGGGAACTTCACCTGACTGCCATGATTTCTCAAATGTGATGGACAGTGGCTTAGCAACTTAATTTGCCAGCTCCTTCAGGACCCACATACGGATTTCATCAGGATTGGTAAAAAACAATGATTTTGAAGCTGAGAAGATTCACAGCAAATGCAAAATCCATTAATTCCTTCAAAGTATTTATACTGTCATTAAGAATTTAATCCTCAGAATATTCCTGAGGCAGTATTATCCCAGATTATAATAAGAAAATAAAGACTAAAAGTACTAATACAATAAATGAGAATTAGAATTATAAAATAGCAGCAGAAGAAAAAAGTCTGCATGGACTTTACAGCAAGACACCAAAGAAGTAACAGTGCCTCTGACTGCATCTATTTTCTCAAGACACTAATTGCATAGTTCATTTAGTGAGTAAGTAAGAAAGGGCAATGGGACTTCTCAAAGTTTTGAGGCCTTGTCTGAGAGGTTCATTAACATACTGAAATGTAAATCTCTGTCTTAGGGTCTTATCTAGAAGCTGCGATAGAAATTCTTCATAAAGTTATCAATTCCAAGTTTCAATTCTTCTACCAAAGTAATTATACAAGGTAATGACTATAGAGTTGAGAACTCACCTTAGCAGGAAGAAAGACTTAGAGCCAGGAATCTGTTAACTGAGGTAGAATAGATAAGTCAGCCTTAAAACACCCAGAAAGGTATGAGAAAGATCTTTGCTATCAGGCTATCATTTAAGACTCCACTGTCCAGGCACAGGAGACAAGGAAACAGGACGAGTGGGTTTACATCATGTGCTAGAAAATGCCAAGCAGTATGTGAGAGCAGGAGCAGAAAAGATAAAGTTCTGTGATTTCAAGACGGGTATGAACTGTAGAGGCAAATTAGAAAGCCTTATAGACTTGCTTAGAAGGTGATGTAGCTAAGGAGAAATTGTAGTGAATATTTTAACATTTTCTTTCTTGTTTGGTTTTGCTACACTCTGGACTTGGGAAAAATTAATTTAGTTTATTGGCAATTAGAATTAGATGGTAAGAAACAAAGACAAAATATTTAAACCACCTTTCCTTTGCCCTTCTGCTTTTTCACATGTTCAGCTTCACTTCTTTATTCTCAACACTTCTACGTTCTCCCCATGAGTGGTGCAGGGGTGTGAGGAATTTGAGCTGCGATCAGTCTATAACATTTCCTCTCTGCCACTCCTTTCTTCTCACACTCTTACCCTGCTCCAGTTGGGTCCTCCCCACTGCATATAGGCCGTCGCAGATAGCAATGATGTGGGTTGACCATGGGCCATATTCCTCCAGGATAAACCTGTTCCAGCATGGACTATTTGTGGGCTGTAAAGGAATAACAGTTCTCTGAGCCCTCTTCCACACAGTGCAGGGGAACTTCTGTGCCAGTGCTTGGGGCACCTCCTCCCCTCTTCCATTGACCCTGCTCTCTGCAGAGCTGTTTCATATATTTCTCACTCCTCTCTCTCTCAATTGATGTTGTGTAGCATTTTTACCATTTCTTAAATATTTTTTCCTAGAGGCAGGGCCATCTTGGCTGATGGGCTCAGTTGTGCCCTGAGGTGGGTCCATTGGAGCTGGAACCAGCTGTGTCTGGCAAGGGGCAGCCCTGACCACTCCTCACAGAGGCCACACTTGCAGTCCATTCCATCTACCAAAATGTTGCCTTGTGTACTCAAACCACTAAGATACTGGGTCACTTTCACAGTAACCAAAACTCTAGTATCTCCAAAAGATTTCATACCGTACCTTCACTTGAGCTACTCAGGCTGCTTGAAAGCTGATACTCCCAAATTCAGAGAGTAAGGGTTTTTTTTTGGTGGCTGAAAATGGCTGGATACACATTCAGGTAATAGTGTAACTCTTGAGCCTCAAAGAGAGTTTGTATTATTTGCACTAGAAATGGGTAGTCCTTCCAGTCAGAGCTCAGGAGACACAATTCAAAACTGATTTT